GAGAACGGCCGAGAGTAACTTGAAGCAAGAAATTCGAAGGACTCTGCTCCAAATCCAGATTATTTTCTGCCGAAGCTGAAATGCTGACAAAAGATGGGAAACGTTGGAGACTTTTCGTGACGCATCTGCCTCCACGACCCGAAGCGATAAGTAGTGATCGAAACTGATTGACTGGCTGTCACTTGCGTGGCTATATTCTATTCAACATTTCACGGCAGTACTATACATGTGAAATACGGTATCTGCTGGTCAGCCTTTCCTATTCTGGAGTTACTGACGGTGTAACAGTGGAACAACCAATCAAATTTCAAACGTTTCTATGATAATCATTCCGTATGAAAATAACTTCTGCATTAGTACAAGATTAAGGCCTTTCGCAGAGCGATGCCCATGTTGTTTCTGTAATTATAATCCAAGTACACCATTAAAAATTTCATCCTCTGTAGCAAAATGATCACTAAGCGAACTATTATGATTAGGTTTTGTGTACCTTTCTCTAAGACAGATTTGTTTCAGCTGATTCATCTGTTAGTCCCACTGTTCCACTTACCACTGAATCGTTAGTGGGCCACTTCAAAATTCATAACAGGCGTTCAAGAGAATCGCAGAAACCTCCAGAGTGTATCCCCTAATACACTCCGCTGTACTTTACTTGAAAGAACTGCGAATGATTTAGACTTTTCTAACAACTAAAATTTAAAAAGCAAATTATAGTTTAGGAAAAAATATGCATAACTGGGAATAGGAAGATGAACTGGTATAAATAAAGACATCAAATTCCCAGAGATTCTGCGAGTGTTCCGTAAGAAGTTAAAAAGTTATAAAATTACAAACACCTTCATGATCTCTGTTAAGTTTATTTTTGGAGCATTCTAGGTCGGTACATAGTAGGAGAAATACAAGTGCAACATTTATCCATTACATGCTTCTCTGGTTTAATGTTTTTAATGTGAACTGATACAGTACGCCAACACTGAGATCATCTAAGAAAGAACCGAATCATTTCTGCCTGATGATCTACTAAATAACTTGTCAAGCGTATGACGAGAAGTTAACCTACGTTGACTCACGTCTAAACAGAGCATCGTTCAGCATGGCTAGAAAGATTACTTAGTCGCTAATGAAAACGAAATGCATAGCAACCTGAAAAAAGACTGAATAATATATTTTTTCACAATAAAATAATGATTCCAGATTGAAACGTGGTAAATGCACGGTGCAGTGAAAAAAATCTATTTCCTATTTTATACAAGCAGCTCTATTGCACCGTCCTCTAGCTTCTAGTCGCCTAAAGGGCCATTTAAGCAGGGCGCGACTCCATGGTATTTACGCACCTGCAGTACATAAGACGCAAGACCGCATCTCAGTCATGAGTTGAACAAAAG